GCTCCAAGTAACATCCTTATCTTTGAGACAAACCAATTTGCATATCAGAGTCACTGGAGAATGACAGCTTTGTGGTGGTAAAAGACAATTCTACTAAAATTTGACAAATAAGTGGATAAGGTAAGAAGAGAGTGAGAAAAAATATCGCTGAGTATTTATAGTCCAGAGAGTGTCCCCTAGTAGTGGTTTCAAAAATCAGGAAGAGTTAACTCAATACAGGTTACCTATAAAGTGGTAATGGATCTCTACAGTGAAGTTATCTTTAATATGTTTTTAACAAAACAACAAAGAATAAAAGCAAATACACGATTGTTCAAATTTTATTAAATATTTATTCCATAAAATAAAAATAAGAAATGGCTGTAGAAAAAATACACCCTTTTGTTAACAACAGTTCAAGTTTAAATGTCTACAAGAATAAAGAAAAGGTCTTACTGACCAGTTGCAGAAGGGTTTCCCTATTAGGATTTATGACCCTGAATGAAGGGAAAAATAGTTTCTTTTAGAAAACATGGATTCTAAAAGGTGTCAGGCAGTAATACAGCATATATCCACTACAGCCAATCATGTATGCAAACCACTGCTACTGCAGCATAATCCTCACTACAATATTCTTTTAATATTTGCTGTGTTACGATATTATAGTAAATGTAAGTTTTGCCATATTTACTTCATGAATCTGGCTGTGGTACACAGATTTATACACAAAATTAGTTAATGTTTTATTATAAGGGAAGCTAAACTGTACAAGTGGCCTTGTTATTAAAATTATTACATCCTCCTTAATTAGCAGTTATCCAACATTGTCAACAAAGGTCATTTAAATATTTTGCTCAAATGCATTTGATAAGTGCAGAATCGTTTAAAGTTCAATCCAAAGAAATTTAACCCCAATACATAAATATGCATAAAAAAAAAATAATAATTTTAAAACCAGGATAAACAATTTAAAATTCCCTTAAAGTTTTTGGATATTCATAGTTTTAGCAATATTCTTAAAGTAATTATTTGACATCAATGAATAAATTTACAATGAATTTTATATTCAAATATGAAGAAAGATTACATTACATTTAAATGTAATGCCATGTTTTTTTTCTCCAACTTTGAACTACTTTGCTATATGTTGATCAGACCAAATACTAAACAAAATGGTAGACTAGAATATAAACCTCTCTAATTCTAGATATATAAAAGTAGACACTGAGATCAATACCAAGTGATGTCAGTCCCTCTCATGCTTGAACACAATCTTCAGGCCATGAGTGTTGGCTCAACTATTTATATATCCTGGACAATGGTGCATTATGGATAGCAAGGTCTACTGTGTTAACCTAATAACCATTAGGCTAATACAAAAGACCCATAATGTCTCATTGACCAGAATATATAAATACTCAAGCTAACACACATGACCTGAAGTTTGTGTTCAAGTATGAAATGACTGTCATTGCTCGGTGTTGACTTCAGTATCCACTTTTATATTTACATAAGCTCCATCCCTGATATTGAATACTTTTATCCATAAATATAAAATACATTAAACTACATTTTTATCATAAGTCTAGATATATAAAGATAAAAATATGCTATTAAAAATGACCCATTACAACATACATCATCACTGCAAAAGTAGAATGAAAATTTAATTAGCAATGCTTCACAAAATTAGTAACTTATTTAATTTGGTTTCAACAAATTTTTAAAAAAATAGCATTCATAGAAAATAAAGATATTTAACCATAAAAACAAGACAATGTTTCATAATTCATCTGACAGAGCAAAAATACAAAAAGCATTTGAGAATATTTAAATATAAAAGTCACTAAAAATAATGTGTGTGTCTGATGATCACAAAAGTGTGAAACCCAGGATCACAAACTCATATCCATACAACTTATATATATATATATATATATATATATATATATATATATATATATGTGTGTGTGTGTGTGGGGGGGTGAATAAAAAGACAAGGAGGAAAACTATTTTTAGTTGACGATTTCGTCCACTCAGAGAACAAAAAGCATTGGCTAAGATAGATCCTCCCACCATCTTTTTATTCATTTTATGTTACATACACTATCTGAAAATAATTTACATACCAGTTGCGATGGGTAAATTGTAGCCATTTTATATTTTTAATTTTTCGCATGTGCATTTGTTTTTGATTTTGCCAACTGCACACAATAGTAGGGTCAGTTGGGCACCATCTGTGAGACAAAGAGCACCAATTCACTCCACAAGAAAATTTGGAAACGGTATGCTGTACCGCTTGGCATTCATATTAGAAACTCTAAAACAAACATTCCAGAGTGTTCATTTGTCAATCTGAGGACAGTGCAGAGGATTCAGAAAGAGTTGGATGAGTCTAATGGTGATTATGATGGTGTTTGGCATGATCACTAGTGATGGCAACATTATGCTTCCATTAATCTTCCCACGGGGCCTAAGACTCAACATGGAGTCCTACATCAAGTGCCCTGAGGAGATAATGCTGCCCTGGGTCAAGATGATAGCTGCTGGAAGATTATGTCTGCCAACAGGACACTGCACCATGCCACACAAGCAGGAGCACCCAATCATAGCTGTCAAACAATTTCTGTGACCATATCACCTCTCACATCTGGCCACCTAAGTCACCAACTTAAAATGAGATGTCAGTGTTATTTTCATTTTTGTATAATTTGACAATTTATCTATCGCACCCTATATATATAACTTTTATGTTATAAGTATACAGATCAGAACTCATGTAATCCTTTCAGAAAATGAAAGAAAAATATCCTTCCAAATAGGAAGTCAAATTTTAAAAAATATTTTACAAAGCCCAAGGGACAATTTGATATATTGGCAAAATATTTAGCATGACATTTATTGTTGAACGGAGTTTCCTCCCTTCAATTTTTTTTTTTTATGTACTTTTTAATAATTTTATTTCTTTTTAATCAAGTTATTTTTTTTTATTCTGCGGTCGTTAAATAAGCAACAGAGTAGAAATTAAATAATAATTGCATCTCAATAATCCAGCTAGGAATTGCCTAGATGAAAGAAAATCTAATCAAACGAAATATCGTCATTATAATTTTTTTCAGAAATACAGCATATCTCCATTCCGTTTTTTTGGCAAAACGATGACATTTTATTTGACTGAATTTGAATTGTGTGTGTGTGCATGCGTGTGTGACCAAAATAATTTTTTGTTTGTTTAATAATCAAATATTTATAAATTACATTAAGGTTTGTTAAGAAAATTTAAAAACATGGACAAGAAAAACAGTCTAGGAACAAAATTAAAAATTAATATGTAAATAAATTTCAAAATTTAATTCAGTACAAAACGATGATAAAGATAATCAAATTTCTTTTATTATAATGTTCTTGTTTAATACCTTGAACAGTACTTTTTCCTTTTAATACCAGGATTTGGTGACTTTCAATTGAAAGCCACCTGGGTATTTGGCCTTGAACAATTGTTTGCAATCTAATTTGGGGCACCCATTAACTAGTGAAATGAGTTTGATCCCATTTTGGTATTGCCCCTGAATAAATTATATATTTTATTGAAAGGCAGTTAAAAAAATAAATCTATCCAGCCTGAAAAGACTTAATCCCTCCAGATATGCAAAATGGCAATTTTTGCCAAGAACAAACCAGAATATATGGAAACCCACAAAAACCTTCCTTTACTCACATTTCACCAACAAATTTGATTTTGAAAAATTCTTCTAAATGAAGATGTTCTATATCCCACTAGGATGTGAGCAATCATGGCTCTCTATTTTTCAGCCATTTGTGGCTTCTAAACTACTACAATTTCATTAAAAACAATATTTAACAGTTACTAATTTTTACCATTAATCTTTTCTCCGAAAATGAACTTTAATATTTAATGTTTTATATGATTTGTTTCAAACGAAACTCATGAAACCAAGGTGAACATTACAGCCATTTTTACTATTTTAATTCATATTAAAACAGCTATTGGCATCTCCTTGTAGAGAAATGGCCAGCAAAATACTCTCACCAACTATTACTACAGTAGTGAATTTGATCCTCACCAGATACCCACAAATATGTCTGTCACAGATTAAGTTAATCTTAATGAATAACTAAGATGTCTATTGTAGCAGGACTCTTTGCAAATAACACTTGCAGGCCACTACAAAAGTGACTTGCAGCAGTCAGTCAGTTATGTGCCATGCGTGATACACACTTAGGCGATCATGTATCTTTCGATACACGACTAATGAGGGAGATTTTTCCTGCAGTAGGTTGCCATTTCTTTCTGTGGTAGACCAGTTGCCATCCAAGGCTATAGAAACTGATCTGTCCTGCTATTTACTCATAGTCGGGGAGAGAAGAAAAGGATTCATACCTTTCCCAAGAGTATTAGCATGTAAGTGAATGTAATGGATTTGACTGGAATTTGAACTTGGCTCTCTGATTCTTCAATCCAAGCCATTGTCCATTACTCTATCATACTTCCCACAGTGACTTACAACACTAGAGTCTTATGATAGTCTTAGACTTAGTAAATAATTAATTTAAAATGGTTAAAAAAGCCAGTATTGCAGGCTATTTTACTTGGAAGCTTGATTCTCACTAAGTGCTTTATTATTGTAGCCTTGTACCAGACTAAACTCAGTTTGGTAAATAACTGTAAACAAAGAAATGAGGATATACAGGATAAATTTACCAATACTTAACCCCACAAATAACCCGTAATTTGTTTTATTCAAAGAAAAAAAAAAAAAATTAAAGTGGGTTACATTTTTTTTTAAACATCAGATAGCTCAAAAAAAAAAAAAAAAAAAAAGGATGTTGCTGAAAATCTTGCAGGCAGACACAAACTGCAGGTCACAAATATCCCACCACACAGATAGTAAAGATCATGATATGCTCAAAGTTCTTATGGAAAGTAGAAAAATGCAGTAATGACACGACAAATGCAGAAAATCTCAACTTCGGTTCTGTATTGAAATGGCCATCTTTGGTTAACAGCTACCCAAACGTTGTAACACAATCAGAGGCAATGATAAACAAATTGCTCCTGTCAGGTAACACAACTGCGGACCACCAAGCCAATAAACTATAAAAAATAGAAAAATAAAGTAGTTATAGCATTACTTCATAGTATATAAGAATGGATCCCTAAATCTGTAACATACCGTATTTGATAGCATAGAAGCAGGTGGGACCAAATTTATAAGATCATAATTCATGCGATGTTTGAGATTTGCAAAGCATAAACACTCTTCTGTAAACCTTGCTGCTCAGAAATTTTTTAACCTCTCTGCCTCCCAAATATGCCTTTCCTCATCCTTGAAGAACAATACCTTACTAAACTCTAACATAAAAATAGAATTTAATTTCTTAAATATTTTTACTAAATATAAACACAATTATGCATTTTGCTCAAGACAGGCCAGAGCTCAAGACAGGCCAGAGCTCAAGACAGGCCAGAGCTCAAGACAGGCCAGAGCTCAAGACAGGCCAGAGCTCAAGACAGGCCAGAGCTCAAGACAGGCCAGAGCTCAAGACAGGCCAGAGCTCAAGAGGCCAGAGCCAAACAGCCAGAGCTCAAGACAGATTTCAAGACCAGAGCTCAAGACAGGCTCAAGAGCTCAAGACAGGCCAGAGCTCAAGACAGGCCAGAGCTCAAGACAGAGCCAAGACAGGCCAGAGCTCAAGACAGGCCAGTTTCAAGACAGGCCAGAGCTCAAGACAGGCCAGAGCTCAAGACAGGCCAGAGCTCAAGACAGGCCAGAGCTCAAGACAGGCCAAAGCTCAAGACAATACCAAACTAAAAGACAGGCCAGAGCTCAAGACAGGCCAGAGCTCAAGACAGGCCAGAGCTCAAGACAGGCCAGAGCTCAAGACAGGCCAGAGCTCAAGACAGGCCAGAGCTCAAGACAGGCCAGAGCCAAGACAGGCCAGAGCTCAAGACAGGCCAGAGCTTAAAGACAGGCCAGAGCTCAAGACAGGCCAAGACAGGCTCAAGACAGGCCAGAGCTCAAGACAGGCCAGAGCTCAAGACAGGCCAGAGCTCAAGACAGGCCAGAGCTCAAGACAGGCCAGAGCTCAAGACAGGCCAGAGCTCAAGACAGGCCAGAGCTCAAGACAGGCCAGAGCTCAAGACAGGCCAGAGCTCAAGACAGGCCAGAGCTCAAAGACAGGCCAGAGCTCAAGACAGGCCAGAGCTCAAGACAGGCCAGAGCTCAAGACAGGCAGAGCTCAAGACAGGCCACTTAGAAATTTCAAGACAGGCCAGAGCTCAAGACATAAAGCTCAAGACAGGCCAGAGCTCAAGACAGGCCAGAGCTCAAGACAGGCCAGAGCTCAAGACAGCCTGCTTGTTTTGATGGGCCGCATTTTGGTTACTCCTGGTATATAAGTCTATCTCCTGCTACCCCAACAAAATGCCTGAAAAATATCTCCTGTGTCTCATATGCAATGTTGAAATATTCCTTTGGTTAATGTTTATCCCTATGCCATCAACTTCTACTACTTGTACCTAGCCTTACATTAGAAGACTGTAATATTAAATGTAATTGGCTTAATTTAATTTTCACTGTATAATATTTGATATAGAGAGAAGCATTGGTTTAAGTGCATTGACAAGGAAGAAGAGTATGTTAAAAAATATGTTATATTAAAAAAAAAATGCTTTTCTTTTCTATCATTTGGCTACAGATTTATTGATGTACCAACACATGCTCAAAGAAAAGAAACATCACGTGGGTAGGGGTAGATTTCATATTAATTTGCTAACCACCAGTTATGATGAATGGATGTCCCCCTCAGGAAGGTCCTGTGACTTGAGCAACTATTAGGCCTTAAACCAGACTTGAAGTGGAATTTGTACATATGATCCATTGCTAAAGAAACTGGAAAAATGGTTGGTTCTCTGTACTGCTCTAGTAAGTACCTGACCCCATCCTGCTATCCTCTACCTTAACAATAGCCAGATCAGGCTGAAAATGGATTACTGCTGTCATATTAGGGCAGGAGCAGCCCAGTCCTCACTTTCCAGTCTCAATAGAGTCCAAAAGCATCTCCATGTCTCTGGCTGAGAAATTAGTTTACACTATACAACCCCTCTTTCACAGACAAGATGTGACACTACATTTCTTAGTTATACCAGTTACAACCTTTACAGCAAGGACCTGCCATGTTATGCATATTGGAGAGAACCAGCCTCATTCCCTTCTTATTTCATTGGTGAGAAGTAAATTCCACTCAAGAAGCATTTTCCTGCAGACCACTGCTCTGTGGAACTGACTCCCAAGAGGACATTTTCCACGATCACTACAATCTTGACCTATACAAGTCAAGGGTTAACCATTATCTTCCCCACATATTTGCACAAATTGTAACTTATTCTGTAATTGACTATCTCATGTGGCCCTGCAGGCCTTGTATAGAGAGACCCCCCGCCAAAAAAAGTCTTCACCACTTTCACTTTTACCTCCACTACTCAATTAAAAGTCTTCATCTTTTATCAAAAATCTGATTAGGCAAAACTAAAAACCTTGAATTATACTTCCTTCTCGTTTTGTAGGTCACTTATTTTGGTTTTTCATACTTGTAGTAGTGGTAGTTTTAAGTTGTTTAATTTTGTAGATTAAATATGTACATTAACTTTCACTAATTTTCTCCATCTTTGTCAGTTTTTAATCACAATAGTCTTGTCTGACCCACCATTAAAATTGTGGATTATTCCCCTTGGCTCCACCAGATGCACCCATTAGGCAACACTATGAAAAGGAAAACATTTCCTTTCTGTCTCTTTTTCCTCTTACTTCCAAATGTAGCCAAATGTAGATAAAGAACACTGCTTCCATGGTGTACAGGTTTCCTTGGTCCTGTGTTCACTGAACTCACATATACACTTAAGTATCACACACAAACACAATCAAGAACATTCTTATAGCAAGTTTTAATGCCTTTCCCTTTGATTTCCAATGTGTACACATGTAATTCCTTTTGTTAATAACATGCATCAATTTTCGTTCGTTTTAAATTCCATGTTTTGTGCTACTTAATTTATCCAAACTCACATGAGTCTGTCAATATTGTTTATGGGACAAATGTACCAAGAGCATTAAACATTTGCTAAGAAACATCCATACATGTCGCAAACAAAGAGTTAATTCCCACAACAAAGTAAATATAATAAAAGTAATTTCTAACAAAACTTGAATGTCGGTAAACCAAAGAAAGCTTTCTGGTTAAGCAGAGCTTAAATCTCTAGATTTTATCACTTCTTCCTTCCAATTCTTTACGGCATATTGTTTATTCATAACCAGGCAAAGGATTTATCCAAACTTAATTGAAAAAAATAATGACAGAATACTTTAAAATTTGATTGGATACATACGTGTACACAATATTATTGGTCCCAAAGCTCTGGCAAGTGCACCAAGTGAGCGGAAAATTCCTACAATGACTCCTTTTTGGTGAGGCTTACCATTTCTGGATATTAATGTTGTAAGACATGGTACGACTGTTGCTGCTCCTGGAAATACAAAATGAATAAAAATAAACATCATGTTTACTATTTGATCAAACAGATAAATCTCCCTAATTATCATCCAGGTTCTCTGCCTAAAGTAGATGAGTTTGAGACATGCAGAAGAGGTACACATGACCATATTAACATTGGGTGGCCAGAAGAACTGGTCATTAAAAACATAGAACCAATTACAAAAGCAAATAACCTCTACCCTAACAGACATCAAGAAGATGCTTATTTGAAGATATTTTCAAGCTACCACCTTATTAAAACCACCCTGTCTATACAGTTTACATTTAAAAGATTTTCTGACTCCTGCCTTTGTTATGACCCCACCCACCATTTATTGCATATGGTGAAAAATTTCAGTCATGGCCCCACCCCGTTATTAGGTACCTAAGTATATATGGGACATCTGTCCTCCTTTACAGCAACGAATGATGAATGGTCTCTTAAAAGATGAAGAGACTCTAGACAATGGAGGTGTAGTACTACAGAAGAATTCTAAGGATATCATAAACCAAACATATGAGCAACGATGAGGTTTTGGAGAGGATGCAAACAAGGAGGAAGCTTATACTTAACATCAAGAAGAGGCAGCTGAAATTATGGGACACGTAATGAGAAAGGAGGGCTTAGAGAATCTGATTCTGACAGGTTGAATAGAGGGAAAGAGAGACAAAGGAAAGCAATGCATGACATAGATGGCGGGCTTAAGCAAGCGGATGAGAGAATGTGGTCTGGGGAAGGTGGCAGAGAAACAAAACTTATTGAGAGCTACAAGGGATAGGGAAAAGTGGAGAGCCATGATTGCCTACACCATGAAGGGACACAGCGCATAAAAATAAAAAAAGAAAGAAGCATATGTATAGAAGAAAATGTAGTAAAGAAAAGTCAATTAGAATAAAATGCGGTGTACAAAAAACGTGAAGAACTAAGTCAAGGCCATCCTGAGGGTCTCAGACTCATCTGTGGAGTTAGTGGCTTGGAAGGAATTTGTTGAAGACAAAGAAATGGATTTTTAATATAAAAAAGAAATTGGTTTTGTTTGGATACCAAGACACTAAGACAAAATGAAGCATATAAAGATTGAACATGGATTAAGTACTAAATGTTTTATTTCTGTTCCCACTTTATGGACTGAATGTATGAAATTTGTTACTTACTTCTGTTAAGGTTTTGGAGACATGTGTTGAAAATTTGTTTGTTGTTAAACAGAACTATGATCAAAATTTGTCTCATGTCAGTCTTGTGTTTGTTTTTCTTTGACTCACACTTATTTTTCCATTTCATATCAACTTGTTTTTGCAAAATTTTTCTTGCCTCAAACAAACAAAATTATATGGATACAATGGCACCCTATCACACTCACTGGTAGAGAAATTAGTATTGATGACAGGACAGATCAATTCCTGACACAAATATTTAAGAGAAAGCAAATTTGTGATAATCTACCTTCTGTTAGAGTAACATTACATTTAGTCAAAAAAAAAAAAAAAAAAAAAAAACTTTCAACTCAGCAGACAATGCAATTTTATGCAATTTCTTTTGTTATAAGCCATGAAAATCATAACTTAAATGCTAAAAGCACTGCCTTCTTTCTTTAAAATTACAGCTGAATATGTTTGACAGCAAATTTGTTTATATTGACACTGTTCAATTTCTAAACTTTACGTGCTGACAATTTATGTTTTTCAATTTTAATTGTATTTATACAAGTTTGCTGTCAGACATATAAAAGAGTAATATTTAAAAAGAATATAAAATTACCAGAATAATCTTCCTATAAATAGAGGTGTTTACATTTGACTGATATTCAGTTGAAAGTGGGTAATGGCTATCATTTTGCACCTCATTATAGCTCAACTAGCAGCATGGCCCGGCGTTGCCCATGCTTGATTCAAAAATCATACGACTCATACAGCAATCGCTATCACTTGACTTAAAATATTTTTGCCCTTCCTTGTCTTTAAAGGAGTGCCCTTTGTCGTGCTGATGTTGCTACATGCCTTACTTCTTGCCTATCTCACACTGCGAATTTTTCTAAGCTCTATACTAAACATTAAATCTGTTACAAAAAAAGAACTAAACAAAATGAACACAAAACAATCAGCTTTAAAAAAGGACTCGTAACTGGAAAAACCGAATGAAAAAACAATGTTAACAACAAATATTTTTCACACCCAAACCAGTTTCCTGAAATATTGAGACTGGTCATACTACTTGGGAGGGGTTGTTGTTGCCCTTGTTTTGTTAACCAGGTACTTTGGAAACCATACATTGATCCGATTTTAAGTTCAAATAAAAAGAGCTCAAAAGTGTTTAACAATGCAAAGTCAACTGCACAGAGTCCAAAATGAGGTGAAAAGCTTAGATGTACTGGGCCGCGTAGTGCAGGCGAGACATTCAACTTAAAACCCCCCAAATCCATATCACCTGTGAGTTAATCGTTTGTTTTTTTTTACAAAATTTGAGTCCCAAATAAAAAAAAAAATCGGGCTCCTGCATGACACAATGACGTAAATTGAAAAATCAGATCTGGGGTGCAGCCTGGGAGAAAGATCAAAGTTTAAAGAAGTGGGAAATGGACTGCTGAGGGCATGGTCAACACGGAGGCTTGTATCGATTTTTGAGTCTCCACGGGGTTCAACGGCATTCTATGTAAGGCATGTTTGAAAGCCTGAGTCCAAACTGAAATTGACGCTGTAAATGTTGGAAGTTGAATCAGCATTTGACGTTAATTGCAGCCTGGGCGTGAAAAGATGTCAAAAACTGACAGCTGATGGCATGGTCGAACCGGAGCTTTTTATCGATTTTTTGCTTCACGAAGGGGTCTCGTACGCATTTTTGAAAGGGCCCGTAATCTGGTCGGGGTCATTCATTTCTGTACATATGGTATGGTGATGTGAGGAGAGACAATTGATGCTTGTAACTATACATTAGTTGGCGATGTCTTCAATGCTTTACAGTAATGCAGTAAAGGGGAGCCAGTGCTTATCCCAAGGATGCATTTGTATCCATCAGATGCCGATGTACCCTTCACTTTCAGAAGATACCCCATTCCCACCCTGTTTTGCTATGGCAATTAATAAGGCCCAAGGACAAACACTGTCTGTCACTGGTGTCCACTTAGAGGAGCAGTGCTTTTCATACGGTCGACTTTACGTAGCCTGCTCTCAAGTTGGCAGGCGCGGATATGTGTTCCTTTATTCACCCTCACAAAAAGCTGAAAATGTGGTCTACACTGAAGTCCTCAGCCAGTCCTCAGCAAACTCCATTCCATTTTTCCTTTCCATGCAAGAAAATTGCGTACCATTTTGAGTTACACGTGAAAGTTATGAATAGGTCTGGTCAGCCGTACTTACGATCGTATGCCATCGCGTCTTGCGTCCTCGCGTGCATGTATCGTGGACTGCCTTTGGACGTTGCAGGTAGTATGCACATCTTGTCTATATTGCGTGGATCAGCGTCATTTCGTAAAGCATCACAGAGGTGAATGTAAGAGTCGCAGTGCAACTTGGTCTGATTCAATCTGATGTAACAGAGTCTACTATGAATTGATGGAAAAGTTGCCGGCTTCGATGAAGATGATTGAATGCACCCTCATGTACCATCAGTAGGTAGGCGTAGAAAGCCCTGCAAAACACTGTTTTTAAGGTGAACCCATTTTGCAGAATGCCAAAGTGGTACCCCTCTTCTCCGTAAGGAAAGAGAAGTGGGTATTGCAGTGCATCGTAGGACCGGTGCGTTTCACTGATTCTTCGGAGCCTACTGCCGTGCGATTCGATAACAATGTCACGTCTGTTGTGCTGATCACCACTGACGATGACGGGAACTTTGTTACTTGCGGGAGCATTGTAACGACGTTTGTGCTCCCCCTGAGGCAGTTTGTCAGCATCAATTACAATAATGAAATCAGAAGAAGTGCATTACCCATTTTATCACCGAGTGCTGCCTCTACTGCTCAGCCCAGTCCATCTTAGCGTTCCATACCTATTCCTACCTTTTCGTAGTTCAGTTTTGCTATTAGACAGTTAACTGCTGTTACTCAATCGTTTGCCCAACCTATTTTACCTCCACGTTACAGTTTTCACTGTAAGTTGAAGTGCCTTTACTGCCTTTACTACGCGGCCCAGTACACCTCAGTACTTCACTTCCTATTTGCTTAAACGTTTGCATTACCCATTTCATCTCCGTGTGCTACCTTTACTGCACAAATGCAAACGTTTAAGCAAGTAGGTAACTTGCGGTAGCAGGAAGCTGTCAATTAATCCAAGGACAGATGCGTTAATGGCAATCAAGTCAAGACGTGAGTGCGGATGCAGCCGCGCTGAAGGTATTTAAAGGGAGCGTGACTTGTCATCAATTGGTTTAGCCTGGACAATGGCCATGATTTAGACCAAAGAATGAGCTCACGCAAAATGGAAGATGCTAGCGCGCGTTCACGCACGCGCACATGATTTGGCAAGGCTAGGCCGTAAATGGGGTCATGCTGCCTGCTGCATTGCCGGCAATGAGAATGCAAGGAGCTGCAATGAAGCATTTGCTCGTTTGGTTTGTGCGACAACGAACAGCTGCTAACCATTTGCCGGCATTAGCTTTGAAATGGATTGGGAGGAAGTCCTGCTGTTTTAGCGCAAAAACTCCTCGTCAGGTCTGGGATGCGGCCTGGGCTAGGGGAAAAGGTTTAAAAAATTGGAAAATGGACTGCTGAGGGCAGAACCATTTCCACTCAGCACGTATGCGCGTTTTTCCAGTAAAGACGCAAATAAAGGAAGTGCTTATTTTGGTAAGATGCGACAATTAAAGCAAAAGTATTGACAAAGTCAAATATGTCATTTGTGGCTCAAAGTCAGACCTGGTAACAGAGATAAAAAAAGCCAAATTTCAATGGCCCTGCGCCCATTCCAGAATTTGAGGTCAAATGTTTTCTTCCACTACTGCACGCATTGACCTGTTTCTTCCCGCACATAGTGTGACCTTAAATTAATCTGCATTTAGGA